CGATTGCCAGCGGCGCAAGTCACCTCCAACGAAACGAGCCAGTTTGCTATACCCTGTCCAGATCCCGGCAACGCCATTTGACCAGATTGGAATGGACCTTTTGGGCCCACTTCTTACCTCTAGTGTTGGTAACCGCTGGGTTATAGTGGCGACAGACTACCTTACTCGCTACGCCGAGACAAAATTCATCCAGAAAGGCACAGCAGAGGAGGTGGCCCGGTTCTTCATAGAGAACATTGTGCTCAGGCACGGTGCCCCATCGATCGTTATAACAGATCCCGGAACCGCATTCACCACCGCGCTTTTAGATCATGTGTTGGTGCTCCGCGGTACTATTCATCGCAAGTCGACAGCTTACCATCCACAAACCAACGGGTTGACCGAGCGACTGAACAAAACTGTGGAAGACATTCTTTCAATGTATGTGGACATCGAACACAAAAACTGGGACGAGATTCTCCCTTACATAACGTTCGCGTACAATACTGCGAAACAAGAAACCACACGGATGACCCCATTCAGCCTTATTCACGGACGAGAAGTACGAACGATGTTGGACGCGATGCTGCCACATGAATGCGATGACAACGAAACGAGTGCTGACGCGTTTACTCAATGTGCAGAGGAAGCCAGGCAGCTCGCACGTCTGCAAATATACCAACAGCAAGAGTACGACGCAGGCCGCTATAACGTACGTCATACACCTGTAACATACGAAACTGGGGACAGGGTATGTGTGTGGACGCCTGTACAAAGATGGGGATTATCCGAAAAGTTGCTCAGAAGGTACTTCGGACCTTATCGAGTGCTGCGACGACTAATTGACGTTACCTATGAAGCTGTCCCGGATAGCCCAAACTGTACAAGGCGTCGCCAGCACCGACCTGAACTTGTGCACGTAGTGCGCATTAAGCCATACGTCAGCGAGTGACTCTGCGAGGCACCGTCGCTTCTACAAACTGACTTTTTGCGCAAGTCACTGGCTCAGCTATAGCATCGGGGCGATGCTCCTTGAAGGGGAGACAAATGCCGCGCCCATAACAACGAATGAAGACGATGTGCGCACCAACGGCCTCGTGAAAAGGGACACTGAAGAAGACGACGTGCTTTTGTTTAGCTCTCGTGCTCTTGGCTCCTGTATAAAAACACACGCCGTCGGTTCTCGGACTCAACGTCTCGGTGAACTGCTTACGTTGAACCGCGACAATATGCTCAGATGCATATTTTGGAACGCAATCTATGCAGATAAAGCTGGCTCATGGCAAGAGATGATGCCAGACGAACTGGTGAAGTTCATTGGACATCTGATTTATGTAGGCATTTTCCACATCGTGGGCACACATCTATATTGGAACACCAGCAGGCTCTTATCGTAAAAAAAACAGACAAAAGCTTTCTGTGAAAACTTCACGAGTGCACCCGTGTTTCATTAATAACTAGGAAATGCTTCTCCGCATGGTACAAGCAGTGAAGGAGTACCTTGATATAGACTTTTTTTTTATGCCAATAGAAACATTGTGTGGAACAATTATTTTTGATACTATTTCTGGGTCCGTTATCTTTAAAATGTATATTCTGAATTTTCTTTGTTTTAAATCTTTCTGCACATACAGTATTTTTTTTGCTCTAGTTATCAACTGGCAACCTAAAAAAATTACACACTTTTCACATTTTTATACATTGCACAATAGTTATGTTGCATTTACAACTTATGTTTTTGGACAGAGCATTTCATTATGCATAGTTTGGCATACGGCAATGCGTGCTGGTGTATTTTTCAAACTGGCAAAAGCTCTCTTCCCGAGACACATAAAAAACAACCATTTTCCCACAGTAACAAAAGGGTTAACAATCGGATGCTGAATGCGGAAGGGGAAAAAAAGAAGACGGTCTGGTCATAATCTATTGTGTTCAATATGCTTTGAAGGTCACAATGCTTGTGCCATGCAGGAAAGCATCTCAATATTCAGAAGGGGCTACTAGTTGTTGCAGGACTCGACACATTTTTGTCCCTTAATTACGCGTTTGAAAACACTGTATAATGAGTTTCGGACTAATCCCCGATGTCAAAAAAACAATACTGACAATAATGCAGAGCTGCTTATGACGTTGCTGCAGTTCTGAAAAACAGTACCCATCATAATGCCAGGTGGTATGTTGCCCCGAGTCATATTTATGGAAACCTTCAATGATTCAAGCAAAGTTCTGAAGATCCCTCGAGTACGAATTTTCGAGTATTTTAATGGTGCGGAAGAGTTGGAAAGAACACATGATAAAAGCTGTTTGTACACAACCTAGGAAAACAAGGACTAGAATCTGCCTACACAAGTGCATTCTTTTAGCTGAACTTTATGGCAAAAAGTGGAGTGATATTCTACATAGGTCATACCTGAAGAAGGATGACCGAGCACTCTGTTCTCACTGCTATGTCGTCAGCAATGACCACATTTTTGACCTTTCGACCGTGTGGCTCAGTTACATGTGCAAAAGTGGCTTCAATACATTTACATGACATGCAGTCAAACTGAAGGAATTTCGTGCTAGATATATGAAAAGTACAGGTTTTTTCGCTCATTTAATTCAAGTTCCAGCCTAAATAATCCACACGCCGCTGAAATATCTGAGTGCCAAGCTATTTAATTCATGTGCCAAACATTTAGCCGAGGTGCCAACATATTTAATCCAATTGCCAACGGCTTTGATTCAGGTGCCAGTCACTTTAACCTATGCACCAGGAATACATGATTTGCCACTTTATACAGTCTAAATGTCGGAATCATGTAAACATGGAGCAACAGGAAGAACTTTTCGCTCGCCTATACGTGCTTATGAAATGAGGTGCAGTGCTATTTATCCCCAACATTTTGGTGTCATAGCTTCAAGTAAAAAAAAAACAGTTCATATTAATTGCATTTATGCGTATTCAATGTATTTGCTCATAAAGTTCATGTTAGTCTATGCTTCATCGCTACTGAATTATTCCGGCTAATCATCTGCATCATCACATATGCAGAGACTTATGTCATCTGCTCAGCAGATGGCATTTGGCTGCTTATTCGCTGAGGTGTTCACAGTCGTCTGCTCAGCTCGGTGAGAACAATGATAACCGACAGATGATGTTCATCTGTTCTTGACATCATAAATAACCATTTAAAAAACTGAACTTTGCATTTGTTTAAGTTCGTGTGGAATTAAGTTTTCTATAAAAGCATGAAAGGAGATACTCTTGTTTTTATGTAACAGATGATACTAATGTTGCTGAAGCATGTTTGCTTAAAACATGCATATTTCATTGCATACACATAATTGTTTGAATAAAAAGATAACAGCTAATGTGAATGGAAAATATGACTTCCGTTGTCCATATCAGGATCACAAGTTTACATCTTATACGCAGTGCAGGATGAAAACCTCTTCGAATTATCTCTGATTCGCTCTGCCCTGTGAGGCCCTCCTAATTTTTTGAGCATGTACCTGCTTTTGACCCATCGCTGCCCACGCCCAGGTTTTCCATATCTTGGTATGCATTCTGGCACTCCAATAATCATATTCTGTCCTTTGCATTACATGACCTGGCAGAGTCAAGTAATGCTATAGAAATCCAATTATGTGCTTTATTGAGGAACACAAAATATTCATTAACATGTTCCTGCTTTTTCTTTCATTGCCATTAAAATGACTTCACCCAGGCCAAGCACTCATCTACAAACTTGTACATAGCAAAGTATAAGCGCTCCAAGCACGACTCAAGCGAACTGCGGCCCAAATATTTTTTTTCACATATACTAGCGGCGAATCCTAATAATAATAATTTCTTCTACCTTCTGGCTATTGTGTTTTATATTGTAAGAACAGCATTTAAATTGTACTGCCGTTTTTACACCCCGTGTTCGGCTTTTTGTGAATGGATTAAACTGACTGGCACTTGAATTAAAGCCAAATGCAATTGGATTAAACATGTTGGCACTTGGACTAAGCTCACTGGCACGTGGCCTGATTAAGTTGGTGCTTGGATTAAATATGTTAGCGTGTGGATTAACTTTGTCGTACATGGATTAAATAGCTTGGCGCTCAGATTATTTCAATGGCGTGCGGATTATTTAAGCTGGAACTTGGATTAAAGTGAGCGGAAAAGCCTGTAGTTTTGGGCAGCAGGAGAAAATGTAACTTCTGATCAGCTGTGCCTTATTATACTTTTTCAAGAGAAATTATGTACTATTTGGATACGCTTGCATTTTGCTGTGGTAAGAGAAGGTAATCATGCACGGTCTTCCACTGTGCTAGTGTTTTGACATGTAATTTATATGTTTGTGCATACAATAGCAAAAACCACTTTAAAGCTATATTAGTTGTGTGTTTTAAAACAGTACGCATCAAAAAGAAATATGGTTATGCTACAGAACCTTTGATTTTGCTTAATAAGTCTTGGGCTCATAGACTTGCGACCAATATTTCCTCACGCATATTCATAAGTGTCGGAATTTTCGAAGACTTTAGAAATTTCATTGTAATTTCATGCAGGACATATTTCAAACATATCCTAGATTGTGCAGTACACTCGGACATCTTACTACAAATATGTGTTGGAAAGCACAGGCTGTGGCAGAATGGCACTGTCTAGTAAGATATCATGCGTTTCTCACAATTCTGCTGCATAGCGATGGTTCAAACCTGTGCGGTCTATCATGTGTTCATTGCACATTCCCAGCAAGCAGCCCATAGCCATAAAAAAGGGGGAAATTGAATGAAACTGAGGCAGCAGTACACCATGATAAAGCACACCATGCTTCGAGTTGCCAAAGTCCGCGCTGTTTTACGGTTTGCGGGGCAGCGTACTATGGCATTGACTAGAAAGCACTGATGCCTCTGGCTAGAAACTTCCTCTAGCCATGCTTGCAACAGCTGCTCATGCATTGCACTTCACAGCGAATGCTCTGGTACGAAATAGTACTGAAATAATAATTTTTTTTCTTTGTCTTCCATTGCATGTTTGTCTTCAGGTGCTGGAAAGAAAGAAGTGTACTTCATGGCTCTAGTGGACGTGCTCACACATTACGGTGTGAAGAAACGCACTGCGCAAGCAGCAAAGACAATGAAGCACGGCGCAGGGGCAGAAATCTCGACGGTGCATCCGGAGCAGTACGCCAAGCGCTTTCTCGACTTCATCTCCAAAGCGATAGACTAGTGCACCTGTGGGCAGTGGTGTTGTGCTGTGTGCATGTGTGTAAGCTCTTTTCTGGAGGGTGAAAAAAAAGGGGAAGTACTTCGTTTCCATTGCGAGGAACCGACTCGTAATCACCGTGAATTTGTTTTTCACCTCGCCTTGATGGCTGCCTATGATATGTATATTATTTTGTTCGTCTCGATTGTGTAAAACCTTGGGCATTCTGCATGGCGCCCTCTCTTTTTTTTTTTTCTCAATGTGCCCCTCGACCTGACTGCTTGTGAGGCGGTGTATACCACAGGAGTGCTGCGGGTGCACGGGCAGAGCTCTTCTTTGTTTTGCAAAACCCTAGTTTCCTGAGAGCTCAAAGCTTCCGGGAACCAACAGCGACCGTAGTGTTTGTGGCAGTACCCCGTGCTGTGATTTTTTGCCCCTTTTCTCTCCCTGCTTTCCTTCTTGCCCACGGAATCTGCTTCGCAACAAGCACTACGTCTTTGCTCGCCATTTTGTAGAGGTTGCGCACTAGTAGGTCGCTGCGTTAGCGTTACTGGTGCAAAACTGTTCAACGAACTAAACGGCAAACTGCTACTGACAGTGTTCCAGTGCATGGCACTTGTTCCATTCTGGTGCCACTGTTTGTCACCAGAAATTTACCGTAGTCACTTTCCCGGCACCCTGTAATGCTTGCTGAACTGCTTTTTAGATTCGCATCGGTAGCTTAGGATAATATAAGTATGTGTCTGTACAAAATGCTTTCCGCGGGCTGTCTTCGATCAGACTGCACTGTACTTGCGGGTGCAAGGGAGCCGTAGATCTGTTGATGGCATCGCAGCTTCATCACAGGTGTCTTGGCTTATGTCTTTCCATGCACTGCTTTGGCAGGATGTTCTTGAATGGGGCTGAAGCGGGATTGTCTGGCACTGCTTGCTTGCAATGCAGCAGCTATGCTATTTGAGGAGCTTGTCTTGCACGCGGCAGGCTTAAGGTCATGGATGTGTGCAAGTGTGGCCAAGGGCGGTGCAAAGATCGTTTATGTGGTGAACGCCAACCGATTTCTGCAGTTTATTGTCTCTGTGTCGAGGTGTTTAGCGAGCTGATGCATGTGATCATTGCTGTGCTTCTTTTTGTCTAACTTTCTCTCGTACTGCAAGTGTGAATGGTCATTTGTGTGGTACGTTGTGCACATTGACTGAACTGTCTTGCTGTCTCGTTTTTATTAATCATTGCTGAGCTGGAGACCTTGAGTGCTTCTGCTCATGCTGTTTCGAAGATAGCAAAAGCTCAAGACATGCTCAGACTTGTAGCAGTGAATGTCCTTGTTTCAGCCTAAGCTCTTATTTAATGCCTGCAGACATAAATGCTGCCCCTTACCTGTTGGTGTAGTCTAGTTCTTACATTACCACTGTTAAGTTTTTATTAATCTGTAAGACTGCTATGTCAGTTTCTTTTCGGAGAGTGTGAAAGGTGTTGGAAGGACCTTCACGCAGACGCAGGTTCAGTATTGCTTCTGTGTCTGATACACAGTATATATGGGAATTTTGTATGTCTGATAGCTGTGCAAGGTTAATTATTCGTCTTTTAGAGCCATACTGGCACCTCCTTTTTCTCAAGCTTTATGCATCACCTTTCTAGCGAGATTGAGAAGTGAACAACACGCTTACTGCTAATGTGTCATGTGTTCGTGTTGTCCGTCTGTGTGCATGCATTGTGCAACACTAGTGAATCGTGTGGTACAGTTCTTTTTCTCTATCTCCCAAACTACACAACTAGTCCTAATTCCTGACCAATCACAATCGCACTGTCATTGATGCCATGTCGTTTATGTCATGTGACTCCCCCGAGCTGCTTCCGTGCTTTGTCGCATCGGGAGCACTGCTGTGCCGCTCCTGCAACAAAACTTTTATGCCACCTTTCTCGAGCTGCCGACAAATGTCTCTTATTTGTCTGGACAGTCCAGTCATATTGCAGTGGATACGAAGAACCTGGATTTCGCGAATTCTCGTGCGCGGGTGTTGGCGTTGTGGACAGTCAAGCTTCCTCTTGCGCAGAATGTCGACAATAGGAAGGGTACTGTAAGTAGACAAAGATTAATAATACTCAGTGCTATGTTACGTGTATATCATACTGCCAGTGTTATCCCGCGTGACACTGCTCTCAACTGCATTACTCACGGAAGTCCCTAGTAACACTCTCCGTAAGCTTTGTTTTAGCGTTTCCGTGCGTGCCGTCGTGTATCTAGCAGTGCAATTTCTGTTTGCCCGTGTCCTCTCAAAGAGTTCGCTGCCGAGCTTCCCTAAAACATGTGTTTTGAATGTCGAGCGTAAAACTTTGTCGAACAAAGCGAGTTGTATCATCAAGTAGGACAGTCGTCGTGCAGCAGTGATCTGCGTACGAATAAATGCAAGCAAAACTGTGTGTGTATGTACACCCATGTACAAGAGAAATTGGGATGCTTCGGCTTCAAAAGTTGGTGTTGCGGAGTGGAGACGTTCGAGTTTGTGGCAAAAAAGAAGAAACAGAATGGCCCTAGCGTTTACGGAGGTTGTGATCTTCTTCAAAACATGTTTGGTCTTTCTTTCCTCATTGCTATGCATCAGGGCTCAAATTGAAAACAAATGCATCAAATGCTGACAGGCGCAAACCATTGATGACAGCATTCCGTGTGGTGCACCAAGCCTGCTTTGTAATCTGCTCTGGAAACTTGCACACCGGTTGTGCATGTATGCAGGCACTCAACGTGTGGCCTGTGATGTGCTACATGTTGGCAAAAATTGGTGTCTTTGGTGTCTTGTGGTAGTGTGCTAATCTGTAGTTGCTTCCAAGTAGTAAGCATTGCGTAGTGGTTTGGAGCGTAAAAATGTTCCGAATCAACTAGGTCACTGGTGTCCTAGTTTACCTTTGCCACTGGGACAGGAGGAGGAAAAGCTGCATTGCTTTCATGCTGCAACGTTGCCATACCTGAAACAAAGGGGCAGCCTCACAAAGACCCCTCACTTGTGTATTATTTTCGTGTACATATGTTTATTTCTATGACACTTGAATAAATTTTTAGAGATACAAAGCATCTGTGTGTTGATTATGCCTACACTCATTGTGTCATCGTGAACGAGTTTACCAAAAGTCACGTCTTCAACAAACGGGAGAAATCTGCAAGTTGTGACGAGAATCTTGGATTTACTCAGACTTGTGGTCTTGCGTGCGCTCCCCAAAAATCTGAACTTCTAGTAATCTGCAATAAATCTCACAAACCCAGAGCTGCAGGGGACTCTGCTACTCCTACTTGCGTGAATATGAAAGATGGACCGGTCCGACCTGTGTTAACGATACAAGTGCTGGGAATGTTAAAACAACATAATACGCATAATTCAGAAGCAATAGCGCGGCTGCAAGCCACGGCCTGCCAAACATGTGGCCTGCTTCGGCGCACAGCCATGCAATATCATGGCATGAAGAAGGCAGACTTTTGCCGGCTGACGGAAGCCTTCCTGATCAGCCGCATTGTCTACTCTTTCCCATACTAGCATCTCCAACTCTGACAAAAAAAGAATTATTAGCGTAATTCGCATGACTTGCAAGTCAGTCTTATATGCACGTTCAGACCGGTTATTAGACTTGGGCATATATACCACCCTTGATGAACTCGTGAGGCGTACAAATGTGCGCAAGTAGCCCGTCTGTCAAGTACTGATGTGGGGTAGAGGTGTTGACAAACTACGCATAAACCCAGATGAACTCAGAGAGACAGACTTCACTACCACAAGCGATCAGACGCCAGCTTGTGGTGAAGCCACTGCCCAAGAACATGCTACCGGGCAGACATGATGGAAGACGGTCTGCCGAAGCAATAGACCTTCATGAGAAATACAAAAACAACCACTTCGTCGGGTACAGGCACGCGGCCAAACAAAATGACCGATAGTGTATCATAAGTGTGGTGACCAGAGGGGGACAGATTACTAACACCGCCTCGGTACAAGTGCCCTCCGCCATGGGGGCTGAAGAGACGGCCATTGCTTTGGCCATGACGAGTGCCTCCACCCGAACGATATTAAGTGACTTGAAGAGAGCCATAATTAATCTCTCGAAGGGGAGCATCAGCAACTGAGCAGCCAGGATTTTTAAAAAACTGTCGGCCTGACATGACAAGGAGCTGCGTCTCTCGGACCCAGTCTTCCCTGGTGTTGTACCGACTTCCTTCAACGACATCACAAATTTTTATAAAAGTTATCTGCACGTCTACCCACCATCCGATGAAGACCTTAAGAGAGCGCAGGCCACGATACTCCGCCGCATTTAAGCTCATTCTTTCCTTAGTACCCGCCGGCTGGCGCTTATTACATGTGGATTTGTGAACCCCATCTGCCAAAACTGTTGCGTGCAAGAATTGGTCCCAGAAAATCACCTATTCTGGGGCTTTGATGGCTTTTCTCTCCCAAAAATGCTCTTGCCAGCTCGCTCACGGTCAGCGTGGGAGGAGCTGATTAAAACTCCCGTTAAGGAGAAGCAGTTCACTATTGCTGCCTGGGCCGTAAAGGTCGCTGCCCGTGTGGAGCCACCTTGAGGACCGCGCCTTCTCTGTCAATTAAGTTAATTGGTTCCTCCTCCTCCTCCATGCAGTGCAATTTCTGTCCAGATTTGTGGGTTTAGCTGCATGTTTGTGACCCGCTAAACATTGTTGGCAAAAATGTTTATTTGAAGGAGTAAGATGTCGAGGAGGGAGCCTGATGTTTTGAAGTTGATGAAAGCTACACATAACGATGTTTCTTATGCTATGCATAATACACTGTCGTCCTTTATGAAAGGGAACACACGAACGCGTGGCCTGCGCTTTGCGGCGGCTGCCTACAGCACCATCAATCGAAAGCTATAGAAAACATGTTAGGGAGCCTACATGAACGGCCGTTTTTAGGGTGATGTCAGCCTTTGACCCACTACATGCCGCCAACGCACCGCCGCCCGCCAAAACACAATGTTGCCAGACAGCAATGCCGCGCTGTCGCCCCATCTTGGTGCCCGCACTGCGTCTACACCCGGTTGCGTTTAGTTCTCAATAATACGGCGTCGAACGTTGCGGTAGCATGTTAAACGCTGCCGGTGAAGCCTTAGAATGCCTGGATGCTGCGTACCGCTCTGCACTAACCACAACAGAAAGGGGGTGGGAATGTTCCGCTTCCCAGCGAGCCCTGGCCGACGACAACTATGGCTGGCTCAAGTGAAGCGAGACGGCTGGGAGCCCACCAGTGCGTCTCGTATTTGCTCTGTGAGTACTGCGTATTTCGTTCACTGTTTTTTCCTGCGACACACGTATATGTGTTTCGCGGTGTTTGCGAATGAGTAGATAACCGAAGTTGTCGTTGCTGCGTCCACGCATTGCGAGTAGGAAGCCCACAAACGGGACGCGTCCGCGCGTTCGTACGGAGACGCGCTCGCTAGTCTGAGCTGTTGCCACGCTTGCGTTCGTGTCAGCGTAACCTCAGTATTATGTCGCAAGTGTTTGTGTGTGGGCTGCGAATTTCTTCGTGCGCTCACTTTGAGAACTGGGTCGCTTACACGACCCTGAGAACCGCCGCTGTCAAAAGCCCAGGTGTTGTGTGTTGTTACAAGGGCTGGGCACTGACCAAAATGGCGGCACACAGAAAACTATGCTGAATTTGGTGGTAGCTGGCAACAGCATGCCCTGTTGCCCGCTGGTTTTGGCTGAGTTTCTTGAAGGCACTTATTAAGATGTCTCCACCCTAAAAACGGCCGTTCATGTAGGCTCCCTAAAACATGTTCGCTTTGAGTGCCATCTGTTGGCAAAAAAATAATGCATTATCGCCGGTAGACAAGCGCTGCTAGATTGCACTCCCTCTCTGTTCAGGCCTGCAGTGGGTAGCCACTGCCAACATATCAAATGCTGTGCGCGCGACCACGGCGCAGGCTGCAGTAATCGCCCGATATCGCTCGTCGCGCAAGGGGTGAAGGAACGTAATCTAGCCTTGTCCATGACTCGCTATCTTGCTTGGCCATAGATGACGCCAAAAGCGACCATGCTTTCTTCACCTGTCGGTTGATGGTGCTGTAGGCAGCTGCGCAGAGCGCAGGCCACACGTTTGCGCGTTCCCTTTCATAAAGAACGACAGTGTACATGCTTTGCAGTATAAATTAGCAACCTGTTTCAACTTGCACCCAAGTCAATATTGATTGAACAATAACTGCCGTGGCATTGTTTGCAACAAAGGAGCTTCTATATATATATATATATGCTGAAGTAAAAGCCTTCATATTGCCTTATTGTCCAAAATGAAGTTGGCACTTGCCCACTCTTTATCTAGAAAACTTGCTCTTTTGGCGTGGTGCCCGAAAGCCATCTCAGTCAGTTAATGTTAACACTGGGTTAATTTTGAAGTATTATTGTTCCCGACGAAGTATCATATTGTGATGAGTATTGGCGGTTTGATCTATATGAATTTATTGGTCGGGTGAGTTGATAGAATGCTGACGCAAAAAACAAAACACCTTGGGCCTTTCATTAGTACAAAGTTTCGGAAATGCTTGTGGCTCGTTGGTGAAAAAATGAAAAACAACTGGTGACATGATTAATCTTGCACGAGGTGATTCTGTTTTACAATTAACTGAGTGTTATAACGACTATATACAAGGGCAGAGACATCTTACGAAGCTGTTGTGCTCTCAGTTCGCGTGTGTCCTAAATACAAAATTACCATCGTGAACTGGTATGTGTTCTCTTCGCGCCATTCATCATCGTCTTCTTCCACTTTGATGCTAGAATTTGCGCACTGATTCATCCGGCATGGGATGCAATAACTCTTATAGGCGAGGGAACAGTACAGAGAGAGAAAGATATTCTTGGTGAGGAGAGATTTGAACCTGCGTACCCACGTCTCAAACAAGAGCATGGTGACCACTCTGCTATCCAGGCATGCTAGCAGAGTGTGGCATAGCCTCATACTATGTAATAGCATAGCAGGAGGGTGAGAAAGAGAAGTAGGGGAGAGGAGGGAGTGTAAGGGTGACGAGGAAGAAAAGGAGAGGTGATAACGTGTTGAGAGAAAGAGATGGAAGAAGAGAAATAAAAGAAACATAATATAGAAGGTAACTGTACATGGAGAGAGAAAAATTATACTAAGGGATGAAAGAGATAGAAAGATGAAATATATATGATGAAAGATTAATCGTGTATGCAAGTGGTGGGAGAGGCAAGTGTAAGAGCCTAGCCAATCCAGGACGAGCTGCTAACCAGCTCTGCTGTGATCTAGCCTTGAGTGACTTAGTGCTAATTTTTGAACTACTCGTGCAATAAGGCTTTCATAAAACTGTTCTTGGCTTCCTTTTTTTTATAGCAGCGAAGTTAGAGAATAAATAGAGCTTCATGTACTGAGAAACGCGACCTGTATACACACATCGAATTCTGCTTCTGTTGAACATCGGCACACCAAAAGGTGCTACAAAAGGAGAACGACCAGTTTGGGGATTCTCATTGATCCCACGATGGGGCTGGCAGTGAACGTTGATGTGCCACCAAGGCTAGTCTAATAAATTTGTCGGAGACTTTTGCTGAACTTGATCTGCTTGACGTATGACCCGCCATGGTGGTTTTCACCTCTCTCATTCTTAGAGTTGCCTCTCTCATTCTTAGAGTCTATACAGTTACATAGGATCAAACACAAAACGCAACTGCCAGCTGCTCCTAACCGGTGACTTCAATTTACCTGCAATTAACTGGGACACGTTCACAACAGAGTGTGAGGAACAGGCACATTGCGATTTACTCCTAGACATTGCATTCAGCTATGACCTTTCTCAAGTTGTTCGCCAAAGTACGCGGAAATCGGGGGAAAGTTCGTCTATTTTGGATCTGGTATTCCTTGACGGGCACTTCGAGCAGTTCAAAGTGTCAGTTGATAAGGATATCTCAGACCATGAAGGTGTCTTTGTCAAAATAACACATAATGAAAGAATGTCAAAACATAAAGAAGCGATTACGAATGTTCCCAACTTTTTTGAGGCTGATGACACAAGTATCATCGACTACTTGTCATTTGCACTGGACAGTTTTGATTCTCAAGGTGATGTCAATGCCATGTGGGAATCTTTCAAGGATATTATCTTCCATTGTATCAAAAATTTCGTACCGATTTGGAAAAAAAGGAAAGCTAAGCAAAACCCTGGGATAAGCAGAGAAATAATCCAACTGAAGCGTAGAATAAGCCGCCAGATACGCAAAGTAACAAAAGACCGCGCAAAATAACTGAATTGTCTGCACAACTGCGTTCCATGATTACAGAAGCCAAAAATAGATATTACGAAGAAACACTGACAGAGTTCATGACGAAGTCTCCTGATAAATTTTGGCGTCACATGTCGAAAAAAGATAACGAGTCACTTGGCATTGTAGTGGATAACACAGTGGTTACTGATCCTGCAGCAATCGCTTCTTCTTACAACGAATTTTTTCAGTCGGTGTTTTCTACTCCGTCACAATCCGATGTCGAATCCGCTCCCTCTTCATTGCTTTGCTCGGAAAAAATGCCAGATGTTGAAGTCTCTTATGAGGGAATTGTGGTCCAACTACTGAATATTGACGTAAAAAAGTCAGTAGGCCCTGATGAAATACCGAATGCATTTCTGCACAGGTATGCAGAATGGGTTGCTCATTACTTAAAGATTATACTTGACACATCACTTGCAGATTGCCGAATCCCTGATGATTGACTTACGGCAAAGGTTACACCTGTGCACAAATCTGGTGATAAGCAACTCATTGAAAACTATCGTCCCATATCGCTGACCTGCGTTTGCTGTAAGCTCCTAGAACACATTGTAGCCAAGTCAATTTACACGTATATTGAAAATGACAACAAATTTTTTCCCAACCAACATGGATTCGGACAGCGCCTTTCCACAGCAACACAGCTTCTTGAAACAATTAATGACTTTGCCATGATGTTAAAGTGGTCATGGTGCTCGACTACTAACTCAAAGGTCGTGGGATCGAATACGAACTGCGGCGGCTGCATTTTTGATGGAGGTTAAAATGCTTTAGGCCCGTGTGCTTAGATTTAGATGCACGTTAAAGCACCCCAGGTGGTTGAAATTACCGAAACCCACCACTACGGTATCTCTTGCAATCATATGGTGGTTTCGGGAAACAAAGCCCCAGATATTATTACTATTCTTGACGTATGTCTACATTTGCTACATGCCACTTCTAGTTTATAGCATGGTCTTATTTATTTTCATTGTTGTACATCGGTCAAAGCTTTAGTTTCTTATAGCATGCACACATCAATCCACAAACTGTATTGACCCCGTAATTTGTTTTAACTAATCGGGTTAAACGTTCTTAAGGGATGGTTAGCCCTAATGTCTACTTAGGTGGATACAACCTAAAAGGCTGGAGTAAGTCCTGCCTATTAACCGAAGCTGACCATCTCTACATGTTCTCTGACAACAGGGTCACTGACCGTGCAACTTGTGATGTTGCTTATGGCATGTGTTCATTGGCGCAGGCTTGCGTGCATCCGCATTTGAGATGGAAATCTCACCGCCTTGTGAAGTCGCACCAGACCGCAGTAGAAAGTGCAAAGCTGCATTGTAGGGCACAATGCGAGAAACCTCGTACCTAATAACAAGAGTAGTATTGCATAATGGACAAAGCATTCAAAGTAATAGTAAAGCGTCTGCACCATGGCATGCCTTGTATACAGCCATTCAGCGGAAATACAGAGTGTGGGCACATGATGGGAGAGGAATGTACGATGCAGAAAACCCAGGTTGTGTACATCTGACATCAAACATGAAGGGGGCCATGAGTTTGATAAATCAATAATTTTGAAGCTTAAAAGATGTGCATGTCTTGGGCGGTCTTACACAAAGCACTATTTTACCGATATGTTTTCCCAAAGCCCTGTCGAAAGTACTGATATTTACTTAGTATCAATTTTCGCCAGTGCTTTCATATGTAATGTAAATATTGGACTCAAGCCCTCTTGCAATTTCGAAGCAGCGTGGTGGTTTTTTTTCCAGTGACGCCGGCATAAGTCGGCAAAAGATTTAGAGACCACCGAAACTCTCTCATCGAGCATACCTTTCCCTTATGGCGCACTCAGACTTGCACTCGCCAATGCTTTCTTCAAGCGGACCCACTTAAACTCAGATTCACTAAAACTTTTTTCTAAGTTGAACTCGCTCAGACTGTCGGCTCTATCTGGCTGAGTAGACTCGCAAGTTCGTTAGCGTGCTATTAGCAGTTTCGTGCAAGGTGTCAATGTTTTTAACACCGATATCTCGTATAATCTGTGCTCTACTTGGCATTTTTGATCTCTTACCCTCTAAATGAGAGTTATTAGTGGTTGGAATACATTAAGGACATTTTCATTGAAAGTGATGACCCGCACAGAATCTTTTTACAGGACATTCCTGTGAAAAAAAAAGGGGGGGAAGGGGGGGAGGTCAAACCACCTCCATTCTTCATAACTCTTGCACGTCTTCAATTAAGATTGAATGAACTGGCATAGGAAGGCTACTACGATGATGGGTGAGTAGGCATAATTAGTGTATTAATGTGAGCCAACATAATACTGATAGTTTTGCTGAAGCTGCGAGTAGTTAGGACGAGACGTTGGCAAAACAATGAGGAGCTTAATCTGACTCACTCATGAAACATACCTCCCCATAATTAATGGACACTCGGGCTCGCACTTGCCATTGTTTTCTTCAAGAAAACTTGCTCAATTTTTCTCAACCCAGACTCGTTTGGAATTTGAGCTAACCAAGAAATTACTCACTTGGGCTCGCTCAAACTGGCATGCACGGCTCGATGTAAATCAGAGTGTGTCTATGACACTGTGACTGCAGGTAGTAGTAGCATAAGAAACGGATAAATGAAAAAGGTAGAGATAAGCACCCTTATTTTTATTCAAGTGCAAAAACACGTAGATATCACAGCATCTTTAATAGCAATGAATGCAATGCAAAATGCAAAACTCTAATGCAAAACTGTCTTTTCAAGCTAAAGAACAGACGTTTGCTGAACTGTATTTAAATAATTGCTCAGCATTAAACATAGGGGCCTCTGCACTGAAGTGGTACTGACGCCAATTTTTTCATTCCGAGTTTACTCTGCCATACAAACAGGACTGCTCTGAGCAAATCTGAATTGATATAAGATTTAACATTAATGTCAACGTAAGCGTGGCACACCTTGTGACGTCGATCTAGCATGATGTTGAGTGACAGTACAAGGTCAAGTGACTTCACCCCAGTATGGCTAGTTGTGTCGGGTACGAAAACATACAAAGAGGCCGCTGGTGCATGTTGCTTCCTCAATCATCTGCTTTTGCGTGTGGACGTAGTTCAGCAAACCCATGAAGTGAGCGAGTAAAGTTCAACTTGCACTCTGTTGTCGCGTATGCATGACTACTACGTGCTCCATGTTTCTGATACACGAGCCTTCTCGCATGGCATCGCCATCAGGCAAGTCCCGTGCACATGAGAATGGATAGAATGCGAAATGGTTTGCCAAGTCGGCAATCTGGGCATCTGCACATGGCCCGTTCTGGTAGTAAAAACCAAAAGACAATTTCATTCATTGCAGATCAAGTGTTTGCCTGCCAGAAACGTGGTGTGCGACAGACAAAGTCATTGAGTGAACATCGTGCTATCTTGCACAAGCACATGAATGTAAGCTTATGCCATGAAATGACATTAGCATACAGTAGGAACTGGAATTTGCTTTTAAAGCACATTGGCATTAATTTTTCAGAGCACACTGATGTTTAAAAGCACATATTTATTACTCTTTAGGGCTTGGTCTTTCATTTGATGCAAAGAAATGACAGAAAAATTGTGTGTCATTACCCCTTTGATGACCAGCTTTGTTATGCTATTTTTCGTGTGTGTGTGTGTGTGTGTGTGTGTGTGTGTGTGTGTGTGTGTGAAGATTAGAATAGGCAGTAACCTACTTTCACACTGTAGAGGACGCGTATGTCCTACTGATCTAAGTGATAAGTCAAGACCCCAATTCCGTGCCAAGTTGTTGCACCACATAATTTCTAAAGGTCTTGCAACGGTATACACAACTAACATGTATCACAATAATCGCATTTAGAGAAGTGAATGCAAATGATGGGGGCGACATGCTGTCATGTGTGAAGCGAACGACTTGTTGCCTATGGACATCTCAATCTCGCGTAACCATATAAATTGTGTTGAAAGCTGCAAAGTTCACTTTCCCCACTAACTAAAATATAGTAACAGTTTCCACAGTGCAAAAAATGATGAAAACAACAATAATAAATAAAAACAGTAGTGAGTGATACGACTTCATTGCCAGGAAGAAACGTATATACAACACCACTTAAAGGCAATATAGTAAAAATGAGAGATGAAAGATGAGAGATGAAAGCTTGTTTTCTTATAATGAGAAAGGAGTTTAAAAAAATGCAAATACTCTGAAAGATACTCTGCTGTATAAATGTGACAAAAAAGTGAAAAACATGGACTGTCAGAATAAAATCCAAGACCATAAACAGTACATATACACACTAAGATTAGCACGCATAAAAACATCAGAAAGTGAAAAAGGAAATGTGGCCAGCTTTGTCAGAGTCAAATCGTGACGTCTAATTAGTTTCAATTTAAGTTTTGGATGCGATACGGCACCCAGATTGCATCTTGTATAAGCACATTTACATAATCTTGCAACAGCACTCATCTACCTGCACTAATAGTGAGTGGCACTATAGGTCTTAAAATGTAGACGTCACGTACCATGGGCACATTGGCTTCACAGAGCAAACGGGCTGTGCTCCACACAGAAGAGAATACATTACACCACAATACAGAGGAGATCCAAGCGTTGGCTATTACGTTGATCTTATGACTGGGATTTCACAAAAGTATTTCCTTTCAAAACAGGCAAAAACGCACCAAAATCTCAACAAAAGTGGCTTGAGTTCGAACCCTTCCTGAGAGCAAGAGGTCTTGCATTTGTAAAAAAAAAAACTATGCTTGCTCAGAAATATAATTCGTGCATCTATGTGAATTTGGCAATAGATGCTGCAAGAATCGCTGCAGAAAGCAGAATCGGCAATTTAAGCACTAAATGTACACATGTACGCAATATATACAGGCACTTTCTTTCTCATCGCAGAGTGAATAGAGATTTACCGTTTTATCACAATGCCTATTTACAGTGAAAAAAGCCACACTTAAAAAGTGATAATCTGTCAAGCAAGCATTGCGTGGATTTTTAATTCATGAAAAACATCTACCACATAATAACTGTGACTGCTATGCCAAAGCACCTTGTCTTCTCCTTAGTTTACAGTAGACACTCACTAAACAAATCTCTTAAACAGAATTGCTGCTTAAATAGAAAAACTGCCTATAATATAATTGTTTTCATACCTGAATACCTCAACCTAGTTAGGCTTTCAGTAAATAGAATTCCTGTTAAACTGAATATAATTTCCTGGTCCATTTAACGAGACTGATTTATGCACTTCCTGGTGTCTTTTTTCAAAAATTTTAAGGCAGATAATAGTGTTGCACCCAGTAAACAAACATCTAATAAACAAACATGGCTTTGGTTTCCTGACATATTCCATTTGATAAGACTACCTACCAGATTTTTTTTTTTTTTGTTCACAGCTCAATGCTCACAAACTCTCGACTAGTGAATAGCATATGTCTGTACATTTGAAAAATGCATATCACAGAAAAAAAAGAATTTACAATACAGCTCAGGAGATCATATGTAGCAATGTCATATCGAGTCATCAAATTAACATCATCAAGCATGTCAACAAATCTTGAGCAGGTACAATAGCAAAAATCAAAGATGCTAAATTTTGAATAGACCGACCACACACAATCTCGAAGCCATGTTCATAGTATGCATCCCTGTAATGAGTTTTAGCTAACTGTACATGACAAGCATATTTATTATAAAAGCTCAAAATTTTGGTTTCGTGTTTCTATAGCGTAATAAAGGGAGAGAAATAAAACATGTGCATCTACTGCACGAGGTAGAACGAATTTTCAAAGTGGGGCAATGGTTCACGGCAATGGCCCACCCTCGTTCCATGACACAGATGCACCTTGCCACCTGCGAAGCAAAGAAAGAAAAAGAAAATAAAAAAATTCCAGACACTTATAGATGAAGCACTTTGACTTGGGCGAGTTGGTACATAATTAGATAGACTTCAGCGCAATTTAGACGAAGACCATAGGAGACACACAGCGCCTGTCTGTGTTCTTTGTGTCTTCATGGTCTTCATCTAAATTGCGCTGAAGCCTATCCAATTATAGGATAAAAGCTACAAAATCGCAACTGCAGAGCTCTTATTTCACATTTATAATTCGGACAACCATCGCAACTGCTGCTGACTATCCACCTAGCAAGGACTTTGGTATCAAACACAGGTGAACCAAAAACAAGTATAGAGACTACCAGATATTATAAAGTCAATATTGAATCTTTCTTGCCTTTGGATGGTAATGAATGTATGCTGTATACAACAAAGTTCTCTTCTAGTCTGATGCATCGCCACACGACATCAAGAAATGACAGCCTCGATCTCAGATGTATGTGAACGCAGATAGTGTTTTAAACTACATGCACGGATATTCGAGCGAGGCAAAAGACAGACCCTGTGCAGAGGTATTGTGAAAAGTGCTCCGTCATGCAGTGGCAATGGTAACTAAATATTTACACATGGCATTTAGAAAAAAAGATAGTAAAAACTAGCAGTTCCATGTATGAATACAACTGATGAACGAAGCACCTTAGAATGCGCCTGATCTCGCTGCTGAGTTTCACAAAGGCGGTAGGGTGCGGAGTGGGTGGGGTCTGCGACGTGCACAGCTCAGTTCTTCCCCCTTTCATTAACACTTCTCTCTGTTATCATACTGTATTTTCAAACAAGTAGCTTGGGACTAGCAGACTGAAACATACATGTGATAAAAATAACAGAAGCCACTGTATATAGTTTGTCCTCGCCATAATATAAAATGAAGGCCTATTTTATGAATAATTTCTTGCTATAATTGCTAAGCAGCATGCAGCAAGAGTGAATTCAGATCGAATCGGGTGACATGGCTGCTGTCACGTTTCTGTGCAATGTACAGATCGGTTTACTGCTAAAGGGAACACTTTTGGGCCCACCAAGTCTGGATTTCGCTCTCTGGCAAAAGCACAGTGGCTTAAATAGTCTAAAGACTACTGCTGGTTGACTGCTCTGACTCTTTTGGTAGACTAGTGCCGAGCACGAACAATGTTGTTACGTCTATTTGTAGTTGTGGGGCCCACAATAGGACCGGTGCACATTAGAGTGCTCCCTTTAACAGTGGACGGTACTGCGCATGGTAACTGGCAAAAGGTGCCTCACGTGGCTCCATGTCTTTGCCAGACTACACCAATGTTGTCACTTTGAGGCATGAGCAGTTAGTAACTGTCTTGGGCCAGAAAGTGACACTCCAGTAGAGTCAATCGAATATGCTTGGAGAACTCGCCTTCCACCACTCAAACATGCTAGCACATTTAACAGCGAAGCTGCTTGGCCTTGCAAGTCTATCCACAAAACTATCATCATCATTAATGGGTATGCACCTCAGAAATTGGATAAATCCCGCTACTCACTACTGGTCCAATAAAAACCGAGAAAGCATCAGTTAGTTAAACAACACATGGCTGGTAAGTGACTGCGGCAAGCAGATTGGTCTTCAAAATCGTCCATTTTTGTTGTTTCAAGGCTTGCGCAGCTCGGTGCAAGCATTGCGAATTTTTTTATTGCACTTGAAGCTGATTTTGCTAATTTGTACATTATTAGGTAATTGTAAAAAATTACTTATGTTTATACCAATATTGTTTCACCTATATGATTTTTCATTGCTTTTTAATATTATTATTATTATTATTATTGTTATACTGTATCACCAAACATTCCTTGTAATAGAACACTTTTTTTGTAGCTGCTACATCATTATGGCATTATCGCTGTGCTTGGTGATTCTGACTTCTTAAAGTGTTTTTAAATGTGGTTCTGAATGTAAGTAAATAAGCATTTTTGTATTTTGCCATCATCAACATAAGGGCACCACGACTAAAAGTGAACCGGCAACTTTGAGTTCTATAGCATTGTAGCCACACCACTGCTGTAGTGGGTCTCCTAAAACTGCTAATCATTCTGCCCAAGTTTAAAATTTTCAGAGAACTCATTTGGTTATTTGATGCTACAGGAACTGTTATTACTAGATGCTTTCAATGGCTTTTAAAGGGCTTTGCTGTAATTCACCCTTTGCAATCTGCAGGCCAGTGCTCCACTCCAAAAGCGCATCATGTTGCTGCTATGTGTAAAGAAACGTGTGAAAGTCACCTTGTTCTGATGCAAAGCTCCAGTGGAGGTGTCATTATGACGTCCTCATTACTAATTCCTGCCGTTGGGTCTGCAACAGAAAAAGCAATCCTGAACTACGAACAGTAAATCTTTGGGCAAGTTGATAGTACACATCACAACTAAGAGCATGTTGGCGTAGCAGTACAGTGACACGCTGTTAGTCTTGCGTATTCAACCTAACCGTATCTTTCAAAGCTCATGGGGAAGAAGATACTGTTGCAGGCATGACCTTGAAATTTGAAATCAACTAAGCAAGCTGCTAACTAAGCTCGAAATTTGTAATTTGAGAGTTAACTAAGCAATGGAAAAACTGACTTACGGAACAGATACCACCAGACAACCAGAGTTGCACACATTAAAGTACCTCTGGACTATAGATTGCCGAACGTTGCAATACTCTAGCTCTTTCAAAGATAGTAAAATAAGAAAAAAGACGCAAGTAGCATGTCAATTACGAGAACACTTTAATGCTGAATTAAGAAGGAAAAATTACTTGTGCACCTTTGGGCTTTGTAGTTTTGGAATGATAAATCAAATTATCGTAACAGTTGCCGTGAAAAATGACCTTTGAGACTGCATGCTCCTTTGAGCTTAACTTGTGAAGTCAAATTCAGAAAACTTTTATGTGTATTTACAGCTGTCAGTAAGAATAACGATGGCAAAGTGGCCATATTATTTGCGAAACACCATTGGTCTTACGTCAAATCACTGTCATTAGTAAGTAACCTTAGTTTTAGCCACATGCGTTTGCAGGTGCTAGCAGCAAACAAACGGATAGACCATGCTAAACACATCTACAAAAACCTCAATGCAACTCTAATGGTAAGAAGCACCCTGCATACGTATTTCTAGTTTCTTTTTGTTAGAGATAAGCTGTGCGCCGGTGAAATGCCGACTTTCAAATTATTGTTGTTCTATGGTTAGGTTCTCATTATTTCGAGTGCTTTGCCATTCTTCTTTTTAATACAATAGCATTAGTGAGGTCGTTTTCCAAAAGCCAGGTGTTTTCATGCTTTCCTGGTATGCATATCCTGAAGCTAGTGTTATAGAAGCTGACAGAATGCTGCCATCACAACAAGCTCTGCTGCTATCACATTTTTCTATAAAGATGTAAAAATTGCACAAAAAAAGATTGACGCACCGATTGTTAGCCGTACTTCCTCCTCCTGCTTATTCAGACCATCATAGTAGAAAAGGTCAAATTTCTCATCTTCAGGGGCAAGGGCCATGAATGACTTTGAAAAGAGCACTGAAAAGTGGCTCTCGCTAAGCACGATCCAGATTGGGTACTTGGGATCCTTGTAGTACGAGCCAACCTTACGAGAGAGACAAAGGACAACATTCCATTTACTGCACTCATAAAACATGTCTCTAAAGAGCTATGATAAAATAAAACAAAAAAAAAAGTCGTGTAACGATCAGAGTCTTCCTAAACCTTGTGCTAAATGCAGCTCCACTCCTCTGAAACTTCAGGAATTTAGCAGCATGTCACCCAGCGATTTTCGTTGTAGAGCTCCCACTGCTCTGTTCGCCAATTCGTCTGTGACGCCAATGTTTGAAAAAGTGTGTAGGGTTACCGGGCATAATTTAAATCTTGTTAGAGAGATTTGAAACTCTATGCGTGACATGCACGCTACCTTTTCGTGCACTCTATCAACTTCCTGCTTGTTACGGCAGTTGAGATAAGTGTCGCCTGCAACAAGTTCCATTATACTGCTTCCCCCCTTCTGATGTAGCGATGAAGGCACTGGAGGAATGACAGTATAGAGGAGCAGGCACACGTTTGGCAGGGCACTGGCACCCTATTTTGCATAGCGTGGGTATCAGCCACATGTTTTTGAAACGTTTTTAGCAATTTTAGGTTATCATTGCGATTACTTTTGGGTTATTTTATACCGTTTTAGATCTTGTTTCTTTATTTCAAGGCAGTTTTGAACATTGCTTGACTTGTTTTAGGCCTGTATTGGCCACTTGATATTTAGTGTGATCGTGCCACATGAGACCTACGGACAAATGACAAGTCATGGTTCTAAAGTGCTGTGCACTTGAAAAATGCAGGCATCAGCAACAACGTGTTTTTTCTACTTCTACGCGAGAATGAAGGAAGGCTCGTTTTTTTTTGGTAGACAGAATATTATTGAGAACTAACAATGATGCCAAGGAAGGTATAGAAAGTGTGATTCGTAATAATTGTAATGTAAATATGAGAAAAAGTGGTGAAAAAGATGACTTGAGAATAAGTGAGAAGAAGACTCACGAAGTCAGTCACAAAGAGCTTGAACAGAATATCGCACAAGTGGCGAGATGGAACAAACGTTATTTATGAGAAGAATTCACCTTGGACAAGCTCATTAGTGGCGGCAAAGACATCACCAAGCCGCACAACCGAGCAATGTATGACACGTGCTCAATATGAGCCAGCGTCTTTACATAACTACTGCCTTACATCTGGAATATATGCACCAGCTTTCGCCCAGGCATTCCCAGAAAAAGGCATCGTATGCAAGAGCTTCATTCACTTCGATGTTATCCTCAGAAACTTCAGAGAAACATTACAGCAAAAAAGACTGCTGGGAGTACAGATCTGTCATAAAGTAAAAAGTAAGCAATTTTCATGGGACAAACAGTTTACTAACACAAATTTAGTCTCATGTGTCCATGCCTTTCATGCTGTACACTTTTGATAATGAACTCTCAACTGAATAAAGTAGCGATCCCTACCAACAACGTTGGTAATCTCCTGTAAAATTGTTAATTAGCATTTACATATGAGCATTATTTCGAGGTACATTAAAATGTAGCAATATAAAATAAAAATACTTTAAATTTATTCAGAATTGTGACAACAGCTGGAACAATAATTCCTCTGAAGTAAAGCTTGACCACGCTAAGTGAAGAAGCTCAGAATAAAGCAATTCCTCGAGGTAACTTTCAAGTTGAAGATGTTTAAGATGCCGATAATACCTCCAAAGATGTCTTTCATCTCTGAACTTCTCTTTTTGTCTCAGTATATAATGAGTTTATTTTTTAGATGTTGTTTAGATGTTGTGGGCCTGACATGTCAGTATGTCATGTTTCAAAAGTAAGCAACCCTACAAGCAGCCTCTTAAGTTACTCAGGGAAATTAATACACAGTTGAATGGCGGCTACCACACTCACTATACTAATCAAAGCATGTTGATTTCAGCACATGACTATTAGAAGAACTCTGGCTACAGGGCAAGCAGGCTAAATTGTAGGCCTGTTATTGTAACAACAGTGTAACCAATGCTACTGCACTATTTGAAAAGTCTTTTTTAACCGATGCTTCACAATAAACGGAAATGCCGAGGCTGTTAAATTATTTATAACTTAACTGTATGGCTGGTGTTGTACATATAACAAAATAATCCATAGCCATTGCATGATGGTATTAAATGTCATAATTTAAGAACAATAATGTCACTATAAAATTTATTATTGTGTCAAATCGACAAAAAGTTTAGTTCTATTTTATGTATAACGAATCAAGGTAACTTTAATTGCCATCATTTCTTAGGAAAATTGTTCATATGCTTGGCTATGGTTAATAGCAACTGTGCTGTTCAAAGTAGTCTGGTAGAGTCTCCAGTAATTGCACTTTTAATGGTAATGTCCAGATTTACTGTTCTTATGGTTCTGAATCTAAAGGATTGTGGCATTCGCACATTTAGTCTCTTTGTCTTAGATGCATCACCTTTTAGTTCCATTTAGAGTGATACCGAGATTTTACTTCCATAACAAATTTTAAGTTTCCCTTTTTTAATGTGCTTTCAATATAAGTACTGCAGAGCATGAGGATAGGCACGAAAAGGATTATATATGTACTGTATATGCGTCGACTTACTTGGCAGGACTTGTAGTGTTCATAGAGCGAGAGAAGACCTATGTTTGACCGGGAGGTGATGCCCCTTAGCACAGTCGTTTCTTCATTCCCAAAACACAGTTTGTTGTCAAAGACATTGGTGACTGCTTTGCCCACAAGCAAAAGATTGACAACCTCCTGCAAAAATTTTTCAGTGAGCCTTTGAAAAGGGCATTTGTGGTAGATGCGGCTGACAGTGATCAAATTCCTTGAAATAATCCCAATTTGGTTCTGCTGCAGCTGAACAAATAAAGCGTGAATAAATCAAGGGCTCATTTTTTATTTTACACAGCCATGCAAAGCCAAAAAGAACATAAAGTGTGTTATTTATAGTTTCAATTGAATCCATTTTCATTTCCCTGTATCTCATCACTACTTTGGTTAAGTTAAAAGGTTTTCATGACCTTATTTCATTCTTAAGGGTCCAAAAAACATCACACAATTGAAACATAAACACAAGTAAAAACCTACTTAAGCTGCTTTTCTTATTCGTCTGCAATTATAGCGTACTGGCACTGACAGAAGAAACACAAAAAAGAAATCCCAAAAGTGCCACGAAATCAATCACCTGGTTACAATGGCTGTGTTTTCCAATAAGCGAGCTGTTTCTTTCATCCATTTCTTCACGAATCCTGCAAGTTCAAAAAGTTTTAAAGAAATGAGTCACATGTCACAACTGGAAACGAAAATGACAGGTTAGTATTGCATGCGAAACTTGCCTCTCCAGGCCATGCGTCATTAGGACGGATATCAAAAAAGCAACGCAGCTCGAACAATTTTCCTCTTGTAACTGTAGATCCAAAATAGTCATAGTTAGTCCAACCAACTAAACTTAAAAATTATAGTAATAGACTGTGAATGCATAAGAAAGCAGAGCATCTATTGAGAATACCGCTGCCAAAGTGCCTCCACGGTAGTTACATTCAAGAACGCCTTAACCAAGTTCTTTCAAGTTACAGTATAATGTACCCTGTCTTGTGTTGCCTATCTTGTGCTCAGACGTGGCTGGTATGGGTGTGAAATAGTAAAAAGGGTCATTTATAAGTGGTTGTAGTGACAACAGGGCACAAAACGTGATGGACATAGAAAGACAAAGATAGCATTATGTTGAGCCAGATTAGGTCAAGTTTAGCTGTATGATCACCAAGGTCTGGTTATGACGAAGCAGTGTGTGAGCTTGCAACAATGCTGAAAAGCCATGCATGGCCACACAAAGGGGCACTGCTTCCAGTGCTTAGCAAATGGCTTTGCCACATACTTATAAGTACATGCTATTCTGCTATATTTGCATTTTTTTTTCTACTGCTGTACACAAACTAACCACACTTACTTTAAATATGCAAGAACTGTAGTATTCCCGCAATGCTGCCTTTGACGTGAACATTGATAGTGTCAACTGCAAAGAGAGATTCAGTCAAGCTATGGCAATTAGTACTGGCTAATCACATACTATAAGGGTTAACTTACAGTTTCTATGATGCCATCGCTAGCCAAGATGCCTTCAGTTTGGGCTATGTTGACTCCAGTGGGGCTGTGTTGCAAAAAAATACCATGAGTCGGACCATGTATAAGCTTTGAAGCAACTCCCTTACTTTGCCACTATAGCCCTGTGTGAGTCACCAGCTTGCCAGAGAATGAATGCAAGCGCCCTGGCCAGAGCAGCATTCCTTCGAGGGACGTCAACTTCAAAACCACTGCAGTCAGGGCATTGTGAAGCCAAAAGTCAGGGCAGTTACAACTGAACACTTACATAAACACTTACCTACATCTATCTCTACACGAAACCCGTTTTGTTAGATCCGTTTCGCAAAGCTAGCCCAAAACTACGTATCTCTTATCCGCTAGTCCTAACATACCGGGTAGAAACTCTGAAAGATAACAAAGAAACTTGAGAGGTTATGGACAATAAAGCATGCAGTGGAATGAAAAATAACAGCAGTAACACTTAGAAAGACAGGTGAGTGAATATACGAACAAACAGAGGCTTGAGATAGTTAACATTATCTGTTATCGGCTCAGTTATTATTTTCTGTTAAATAGTGAACTTAGTTAACAGTATCAACAAAAAAAAAAACGGGCCTGGGCAGGCTGCAGGCTTGAAATGGGATCGGCTTATACGAGACAGGGTGGGTTGAAGATCAGTGGGACAGGCACTCATCCTGTTGAGCACATAAGATAGGTTATTGTATGATTGTTGTCAGGCTAGCCTCGTAACACAGATCTAATGGAATGTGTTTTATGTAGAACTTCGCGAATAGCAAGAGTTTGGGCATGAAGCGAATTCAAATATTAAAGTGCACTTCAGACACAAGTACCCTGTCAGCTGATACTCGCTGATGTTGATACACGCCCGACTCTCTTGCACATTTCGCTGTGCAACCAAGTGCAACTAGCATGTGGGAAACAACCATTGAACTATGTATTAGGTGCGTTTGCACACTGAGCACTCTGAAAAAGAGCTACACTGAAGCCTTGACATAATGAATCTGGATATAATAAAATATTGTTTATAACGAAGTAAATGAAAGATAGCCTTGCAATAGATATAATGTAAGAAATAAACCTTTATAATGAATTTTGGAATATAACAAACTTATTTTCATGGGACATGCAACTTTGTTATACTGAGGTCTGAGTGTTTTAATTTCTCCTCACTAGTTGGACACGTCACTGAACTGCCACGAAGTTGCTTGCCAGAACGACAGAGGAAAGAGCAGACGCAACAGCTTGAGTTGCACTCCATGAAGACCTCAGTCAACACTACTGTTGCGTTGTGAATTGCCAAAGGACGAACTTTGTCAGCAGTGGAGCAACCGCGGAAGACGCGCATGCTCGTGCCAAAACGACAAAATCCAAGACAAAGTTCCCAGATTGTCCGTCGCGAAAGTTCATTATACTATGAAGAATGTCTCCCGCTGTTACTTTCGCAAATACATGTGCGTTAATGGAGTAATGGCGGGGAAGAAAAAAAAACTTCGTAATATCGAGGAATTCATTATATGGAGGTTTGTTAAACACAGGCTTAACTGTATAATTGTTTGTTTGCTTTCTTCTGTGTGATCTTCATGAGTTTTACTCGTATCTTCCATGCTTGTCTAGGGTTCTTTTGTAGGTGCATGTGTGGCAGTCAGCCTTTCTTTCAGAGTGATGCCGTGAAACTGTTGTGTGTCGTTCTGCAATTCAAGAGCAAAAAAATATGCAACTGTGAAATATAACGAGTTCGTCTACAGCCTACAGTGTTGAGAACCGCTGCTCAGAAATTAAGCCACTAAGTGCCAAGCGACAGGCATCTGGCACATAGGTTCTTGCATAAACCTCTCTCAAAGAATGTTTTCCGTTTATGTATAAACCCTTCCTTCCTTCTCATAAAATTCCAAGAAAAGTGTTAAGCTGCTGGTCAATTTACTCCAAAGTGACAGGAGAGAGATGAGATAAGAGGAAAAGTTCAATTTTGGAGGAAACAGCAACTGGATCTTTCGGATGCCCTCCTCAGATACATGCTTTCGTCACTCGCTGCTTCATCTAAAGAAAAGTGCAAACGTAACGGCAACAATTCATAATAACCAGGAGTTCTCTTCATTTCAGGTGAGTGTTGCATGACATTGGAAACTTGATACAATTGTTCGTCTTTCCCGTAGTTTTCTATTAGCAGATGGATGTGTTCTCGTGAAGTAATAAACACAGCAAGAGAATTTTCAGGCAGAACCTCCCGATAAAAGCTCGTTACCTGTGCTTGCATCCAGTGATAGAGCCACATGGGCAACCTCTAGGGAGAGTACTGATGTCCACTATGCATAAGATTTCTACACCTCTGGCAACCCGTTCACATCTGCGACTTAATCGGTAATTCTAATGATGAAATAATCCACCTGTAATCGAAACTAAAAAAATGCATTATTTGTGGCCTGCTTGGAGTCGGCGTCGTGCATAACAAAAGCAACTGTGGAAGTGCTTCTCTGCCACAAGCTGCTCTCGCACAGTGGTGCCACAGTGAATGCATGGAGAGTTAGGCCGCAGACATTGTTCCAGCGCCATACAACAGGCTGCACCTTCTCTTTTTTCAAGGTAGAGGTTGTGTCGACACCTATTTACGCCATTGACGTTACATTGTTTTCATCAGTAATGATGCATGAAAAGCATGATAAATAATTAAAGAGCCACCCCAGGCCACTTGGAATGTGCGAACGGTAAATTTTAGGTTTGAAACGAATTCTAGGCAAATAGAGATTTGGTGAAATACTTTTGAATTGATTTCGAATAGTTTAGATCATGTATTATAAAAAAATTGGGCATATTTCCCAGAACTTGACTAACCTGTCCAATACTTTTTTTTTAACTAAAACAAGGCATGTACAAAGGCAATTCTTTTTCGTTCAAGGGAAGTAGCTTCAAGTAGTATCAGGATTTGACTTTCGATAAAATGCAACTGATAACCTGTGAAATACATTATGTTCTGAAATTTACTATATTTGGAGCATATAAGCCTGTATAAGAAGCTTTCAAACTTAAAAAATGACGAATCGATGTGAGGGTAATATGTTTTTTTAACATTGAAGTCGGGCTTTGTGGCAGTACCTATTTTATTTAGATAGCTGTATTCATGGTAAAGCACCATTTCACTGCAGTGAAACCATCTTTACAAGAGGGAGGGTTAGATGTGGAGTGAAGGGACACTGAAGTCAAATAACAATTTACGCCAGAGCGAAAGCTCAATGTATGACAACATCTAAAAGGACAATATTATCAACAACAGTGCCCTACTCACCGAGAAATTAAAGTAAATGCACAATAGCACAAGCGCCACAGTAGGACATTTTCAAAATGATCCCGATGACATCAGAAGGACCGCCTACAATTAATTACTACTAATCTAACTAACTGTCAGAAGGACCGCCTACAATTAATCACTAGAAATCTAACTAACTGCACTAAATAAAGAACCTTCCGTAGATCAAGAGGCACAACAAAATGCTGCTTGTTCGTTTCTGCTCGATTCATGGAAAAAAGAACCGCCGGACGTTACTATGGTGAATAGTGCGAGTGGTTCAAAAATTCAATTTTCGCATGGTTACACGGGACAGGTGGAGCCATCTAGCAGGGCACAGTTGAAACAAAACACGTCTGCGATCTCGAAGCCAATGACGAGAAATTGATCAATGACCATTGTTGCTGTTGTGGCTTCCGCTGCTTTTGGTCTGCTGCTACTGGCGCAGTAAAGCTGGGCATCGTTGTGCACGGCAACAGTGACGTGAATCGGTCCGGTCAGCTCGCTTCTTGAGGTGGGTAATTTGAAGTGCGCTAACCCGATGCGAACCACTAAAACGTGTTTTTATTTCAAAATTGGCCCTTCCTAGGTGCAAAAGTAATGCTAGGAAGATTCTGTGCCGCTATTTCAACAATTAACATCAACTTGATAGTTGCCTTTAGTGTCCCTTTAATAACACTCATTTGTTCATTTTGAATACCTTGAAAATTCCAAAAATTCTAATTGAAAGGAATTCAAATACTGTAATATTTTAATATATTCGAAGGGCACGAATATATTCGCACAAGCCTACAGACCACTCTTTTGTAGCACTGTCTTCTGCTTGATAAATATATTGTGCTAGCTTTACTGCTCAAGCTAGTAATATACACTGCTTATCACAGTAACACAAGGTCATTGTCTTATCATTCATCATTCACACCTGGTTAATCGTGTAACTAAGCTCCACTTTTTCTCCCATTACTGCACCCCTCCTACACCAATGCCAAGGGACGGAATGTGCTCCTTCACTACCAACTAGTATAAAGAATTGTTCGCTGTGCCACCGAGCTAAAAAATCTTTGCACAGGCCCTGATTGCCACCCCCACAACATGTCACCCATACCTTGGATCGGCATCCTGTAGTCCCCCTTCTGGCCACAGCAACTCTTTGATCATGTATGCTTGTACTGCTGCAAGCACACCACATGGTCCTCCCTAGAAAATTAATGAGATAATGCATTTGTACATAGAAAATAGTAAACGAAGATAAGGTAGTGATGAAAAATATATAAATAAAAAGGCAACAAAGAGCAGGAAATGAGAGAGACAAGTGTACATTTGATTAATTTTTAAAAAATAAGTCGTGAAAAAGGCATTCTACATTTTCATGCATGAAGAGAAAAGGCCAAACAAAGCAACACATGCAATCAAACTAAAGCTGAGCATTATGTTTCCAAATGCAGCTATGTATGCACTATAGCTAGTATTAAATGTGCATTGCGACACAAATTAAGTGTGTTGTTTTTATCGCTTCTTCTTGAACTGCACTGATATTATTGCATGAGTGGCAACACCAATAACAAAGCTGTTATAACTTCATTTAAAATAAGAAACCACACTTGGTTTGGGCTAGAGTGACACACAGTGGCTATTTTTGTGGTCGAATGTGACGCTTCACCACACGGGAGTGACGAACAACATAGGTTGATTGATGTGTGGGGTTTAACGTCCCAAAACCACCAGATGATTATGAGAGACGCCGTAGTGGAGGGCTCTGGAAATTTCGACCACCTGGGGTTCTTTAACGTGCGCCCAAATCTGAGCACACGGGCCTACAACATTTCCGCCTCCATCGGAAATGCAGCCGCCGCAGCCGGGATTCGAACCCGCGAACGACATAGGCTGTGAGTTTTTATTGGTTTGACGCAATAAGTCAGGCGAAATACTCATAGGGTCCCACATAGGCCACGCTATTGTGCTCTACAATTGATAAAAGCCCTCTTTATACTTTGTGAGATACTAGATAATTCCTGGTTTATAAAAATGTGAATGAAAGCAACTGCAAATAATGCTAGGAGCACTGCGCAACGGCCAGTGGTATAGCCCGAGAGTGGCACCCCCCAACCCAACATTTTTTTTTTGCTATGTTATACAAAGCACAAGATGACAGTCGACCACTTAGGCCCCTGATAACAGCCACCACAAGGCACATTGTCCGGCATGTCTCTGTAAGAGGCGGGCAGTGATTGAAACTAGTCTTTGATGTCAGTGGGAGAATGAAATGTGAAAGGGAACATTTTCTTATCATCTGTAGGGTCTTGAAATTTGATGGCATTACGTCCATTGCCCTGTACCGATTCCAGTAAATTTTTTGCGTTCATCTCAGTATTCGGCACTACACAATTTCCAGCACTGCCAGAAGAAAAAGCGTCGCAAAGCATCGTTAACATTTTAGTGCTAACTATAGTGTGTAATATTATCTCATTCACGGTTAGAAAATCTGTGATGTTCACATGCCTTTGAAGCTATCACAGTGATGAAGGGTGGAAGGTCTAAAGCCAGAGCTAGCGTTTTCACAAAGAGACGTATTACATGGAAAGACTTCTTTTCATAGAATGGAAGAAGACTTCTCTTCACGGAATGTTCTGCCATAAAACAACCCCTGCTCGATTACTGTTGATTACTTTCCGGTATTATTAACAGAAAAATGGTCCCATAAAAGAAAAAGCACATTCTGTGAAAATTATGCCGAAACTAAAGAAAATTAAACGTGCATAAATATCTTTATGCACTATAGTTGCAACATGCTTGCAACGCAAAGCGCATAACTTACACACCTGTTTTTGCAGCAGGCCATATGGGACAGCATTCGACTTGGTGAAAGTGAACCCTTGTGAGGCCCACTCCTCTCCAAATTTTCCGTTTCGCGTTCCAAATAGCAATTCCTTGAGTTCCTGGATTCAAGGACGGCATGGTTTCATCACAATGATTGCCTAACTTCAGAAAAAAAAATGCTTAATTCTAGATTTTACGTGCCAAAACAGTAATATATGTATGAGGCATGCCGTGGCTAGGCATTGAGATTTATTTTGACCCCCTTCGGTTCTTTAGCAGTCAATGGATTATCATTGCATTGCACCTCCTTCAAAATGGCATGGCCAGCGTGAATCGAATCTTCGATACCAGACTTCAAAGCACGTCCACGTAGCCACTGAGCTACTGTAACAACTTGATAGCTCAACTAAACAGTGTCGGAGGTTTAATTTAGTAAGCTAAGAGATAGTTAAACAAGGAACTTTAAAAGATGTGAGGTCTGCTCATGGTCACATAAAGAGAGGACAATGAAAAAAGGCAGGAAATAACTTTGAAGGAAGGTATGCTATCTTTGCGTACATAATATTTATGCATGTTTTTTTTTAAACAAAGAACTGACAGGAGGTCAGCACGCGTCTTTGCCAATTCTTTGTCCCTTGGTTTTTATCCCACGCTGCACGCAATTTGACACCATAATCACCTCAGTAGGCAATGATAGTGAGCACTCGCATTTAGTTTGAACTACTACTCACATCCACAGGTTGGCTAACTAACTTACAAGCTGACTTGCTCAGACTTAGATCGGCCGATAAGTCTGAGTGAGTCGGGGTGCATAGTGTATTGGCGAATTTGCGTCCAAGTCAGTCCTGCTGAGAAAAATTTTAGTGGGTCTAAAACTAAAAGCGTCGGGTTGAGGAAAACAATGGCGAGTCTCAGTCTGAGTGAGCCCTAGGTGCAAAATATGTTTCCTGAGTGAGCCCGAGTAAGCTCCGCCTTTTATTGCCGAGCTACGTTCATGCCCTACACAGCTCAGTAAGTAGACAATCTTTCTGACCTTTCATTGCATACGAAGTTGACCAACCAAGCGAATAAGAAGTTCTAGTGCTTAATGACCGCACACCTGAAAATAATGAGCAGAAATGCACCACTCACGGTGGCCTCCTGCCGGGTTATCGGCCTGAAGGTGGTCTGCTGTTCAGTGATCTCGAGTGGGTCAATGTACACATCCTGGTCAGTGATGTCGCTCACTTCAATGTCATAGTTTGCGCTTGTGTAAAACTTTGGATAGGTCTCGCCAGTGCTGTCCCTGCTAGCCAGACTCCTTGGACTCCCAGTGGCCACAACGGAATTTGACTTCCTTCTCGTCGACTCCAGCCGTGGTGCGCTCTGGCTCCGAAGAAGAAATGACTTTGGCGAAGTTGGGGAGGTGGGCTATGAGCATGCAAAAGCAGCACATCTTAGAATGCAGAGCTTAATGCCATGTGAAAAAAAAATGCGGTATTAGAGTAGACTGTAGGTGTTACAGTTAAACCCCTTTATTATAAGAGACATTGATATAAGAGACACCAGTGTGCGTGCACTAAAATACAAGTAGATAGGAAAATGCACACGTGGTACCCTGCTTGTAAGAGACATCTCATATAAAAGACAAGAATTGCTGCCCAGAGCATGCCTCTTATAGAGAGGTTCGACTGTAAACACTGTGTGAACACCAGGAGATTAATACAGTATGCACTATTGGTAATCAATGCCCTATCTTCTGCAGGGAGTGCCCTTGAAGAGCAAAAAAAAACTGCTCAAAAAACTACAGCTTTAACCAAAGTTCATTACCCAAATTTTTATCTGCCCTGCCTTTACCACCTCCCCCCCCCCCCCCAAAAAAAAAGCGAACATAGAAGACAATGTTCAATCCGATTCCCCACCTTCCAGCCCCCTCCCCTGAAAGAACTGACTTATCATTCGTTTCCCTCAGTAAAAAAATCCAGGCACCGCCACTGGCTGCAACTCGCAATAACTTGGCACACCACTGCTTATCATACACTGGGGATGTTCTGTCACAAAATTGAATTGCTATACTGCAGCTATGCAAATGCATAGCGGTGTCCAGAATTCGTGATGCCAGCGTGGGTCGCATTTGCCCGATTTGGTGCACTCCAGGCGAGCATTCGTGCCGCCATTACCTTCCGTATGAAGTCTAGATCGCGATTACATATAGGTATATCACTGTGTGTGTCGTATGTTCTGTGTACAAGAAAGAGCGCACAAATGTTGCCAACCAATGAGACTCGAGAAGAGATGAAAGGAGACATCTCCTTCGCTCAAAAGGCACATCGATATAAGACTTGGAAGGGGGGAAGCAGGGGCGGTATTTGTTTCAATCTTTAAGGGGGATGAGCAGATGGCTCATACCTTTGTACATGTGCTCTGGTTGCAAAGTTTCCATTGAAGATATAGCGAGACCACTTCGCTTGCTGCAGCAGCCATATGTTTTGTAGTAGTGAGCTGCTATCACTGGCACAGCCAGGGGGGAGGGGTGGGGTGGAGGGTAGGTTAAGCAAGTTTAGACCCCACCTAAAGTTCTTAAGTTTAGAGTATAAATACACAAACAGATGCAAATGCATTCAAGAACATGTATAAAGCGTGATTATGTGCTCTACCTCAACACCCCTACCCTTGAAAAAGATTTCTAGCTATGACCGTAGCTGCTATAGCCTACATTCATTCAAAGTTCTACCTTGTTATCAGATTGCTTCGTTCTTGCGGCAAAATGGACACTTTCTTTTTTCTAAATGCAACATAAAGTTTTTGATATTGTGCATTCGGAGGACTGAGTGGAGAGCAACTTGTTCAACTGGGTAACATGCAAGCATTGGCATTGCATTATGTAGCCAACACCCAACACTTTGATAACAAGCAGCGGAAGTGGGACAGGTGCAGTTGCACAGTGTGTCAAACCTGGAATTATTTCGTCCTTACGTGTGCCGCACCAGTGCAGCATCAAATCATGGTCGCAGGATCTGAGGCTCTACCAAGTTAATGTTTATCGCAAGGGGAAAAAAAAAAGAGAAAGAGAAGCGTTTTAGACCACCACATTATTCGAGCATTCTTGTGGTATTTTTAGCGTAGAAATAAATCCATCGGCATGTATACTTTGCCTGAAAAGACGAATTTTAGTTAATGAACCTTTGATATAACGACCTAAATTGCCTATTTTACTGGCTTTGCCATAATGAGCTTTGACTGTATTTTGTACTATTCGAATCGGACTAAGTTTTATTTTTAAATGTGCATACTAGATCATCTTGCAACATGGCATCAGCCCATTTGGACAAAAAAAAGTTGGTCCATTAAGAGAATTTTAGCAAAATCACTCAGGCAGAACCTTGGAAACTCAGAGAATTTTAAAATGTGAGGTTTGTAGATACCCTGTAGAAGCAAACCTCATTAAAAAAGTACAATCCTCCATTCATGGCACACAGTAAAAATTCTAAAGTATGAGAAATTGCCAACAAAGTTATCTTTTTCTAGGACATGGACTGTGCAAAACCTTGCGTGAGCCTACTCGTTTGATAGTGCAGCCGAGGGACGAAATGGTAGCAATACGAACTTTTGTCTTGTGTAATGAATAAATTGAGCCAACCTATTACTTTTCTCACTCTAAATCAAACCATACCATGCCAAATAACGAATAGGACTTCAATGGCTGCTCCCAACACTGTTGCAATTTTTCTCGCTCTAACAATGCTTTCAGTAACAGTAGTGTGGCCGTTAACCCCTTCGAGGCCATGAAGGAGCAGGGCTTGTTAACTTGTTTCCTGTACGAACAGTCGAGGTCAGGCTGAGCTTCAACAGTACTTTGCTGTTTCTCACACTGCCCCAGGGAAACTGCCTTTGTCTCGAGAGCTTTACAGTGTTTCGTATATAGCAGCACACGTTCGATAATGCAGCGAATGCAGGAACGAGTTCACTCGCATGAAAGATTTGAAACATACTGGCCCAGAATAGCATTAGAAGTTCTGTAGATCTGAAATATGGGCTTACTGATAGCACAAAACACATGAAGATGCAAAAGAAGACATGAGGACAAAGCGCAACTAGTGCTGCTAGTATGCAGTACTGTTCCTAGTGCTGCATCGTTGCGTCTTTTGCAAACATGTGTTTCAATGCGCTAGCCTTGAGGTAAGGAGTGTATGACTTGAAATATTTGTTAGATAAAATGCGATGTTTGAACAAATGCCATCAGGTGGGGAGGAGCCATTGTAAAAAGAAATTCTATCCATGACAAAAGCACATTTAAAAGTTCTTAATGCGGCTGGCGTTTCTTGCTTTTTGCATTTTTTTTATTGCTATGCAACTTATGACTGAACAGTGGTTTAGCCTCTCAGGACAAGCTGGCAGCCCAGAGCTTGATTTGATTTATTTTCAGGTTCATTGCACTTTCATTGAAAGAAGAGCATCTGCTTTGGTTGACAGTCAGCAGATTTTCCTACCCAACTGGAAGCTCACCTCGCAGTTGATCTGCTGAGACGGTTGTAACACAGCAGCATCTAACTCTGTCAGCATTTCCGGTTGCAGGTTAGGAAATGCCGAGCTTCTTGGAGAGTGCGATGAATCTGCAGGTCTGGTTGGTGCTTCCCTGCTGTGCACTACTCTATTGGCCAGCTTCCGTTCGGCGCTCCGCGCTGACATGGCACTCTGAAGGGTTGAGCTCGTGATCATATGAGAGCTGCTACCCGAGAAATTGCCTGCATGGCAATTAAAGGGCATCATTTCATCACCGACTAGAGTTCATCAATCTCACCTAAATATGCAATTTATTGTCAGGCTGCTACAGAAAAAAAAAACACTAAAGCAAAACACAGATGTTAAATGTCTTGTTAACTTGGATAAACCTTTATGTTTGCTTCAGTGTGATACCTTAAGACCATTGATCATGCACTTTGAAAAACACAGCTTTTTGCTCCACTACTGAGCTGCACACCCTGCCACAGTTTTTTTCTTTTGTTTTGTTTTGAGGCATGTAAGAGGCTTTATACAAACCAGTGCAAAAATTATGAATAACTTGCCGTGGCAACTAAAGCCACCTGGGTGCAAGGCTCTGAGGCACATATGACATAAAAGAGGCTTCACATGAAAGACTTCACAAACTAGACAAAACGCAAACTGCAATTAGATACATATGTTATATAAATAGGAAGAAGGTATTTAAAAAATGTGCACGAGTGCTTAGATTATGCGACCTAACATCGTGAAAGTAGCTTGCGAGTGTTTGCCAACGTGATGGCAATTACATGATGCCACCGTGCAAACAAAATGGTTCACATATTTGAACAGTGGCACTATCTCTTGGGGTCGCACGTACACATGAAAGCTGAAGGAGGAAAAGCCACAGCAACGCATAGAAAATACAAAGGCTCTAAGTTTAGTTCCAAGTGGCAGTGAAGCTGTTTTATCCATTGACTCTCATTTTCCTTTATTTCATAATGACTACACTTCCACTTAAATATTGTATATAGCTTGCATGTAACGTCAAGGACCCAGCTTCTGAGCGTACTTGCACTCCAAGGTGATGACTCTGATGACATCAATGCAGTGTTTAACCTGCTTCAATGTGATAATGATGCGACAAGAGCATTGTTGGTTTCTTTGCATGAACGCTGCAAGAAGCTGCATACGATGCTCTGATTAGACTAATATGACATGACAGGCTTCATGTCATGTCCATGGTGTGCTCCAATGCGGTTGTATAAGTGGTGTCAGTGCAAGCCATCTGTTAGTAATGCCCCCTGCACTTTCCTTGGCTTCATCCCTTACTGGCTTTATACAATACCCAGAGTAGCAACAGCAGTCATTTTAGCAAACATATTTATTTTAATTAGTATACCGATTACTGACCTCCGAGCTTTCCGAGCAAATGGCTCGCGTCAATGCGGTCTCCTTCGCCGTCATGAAAACCAGGCTCATACTTCAGCGCCTCTTCCATCCGCTGGATCGCCGAGTTGGTGACCCTCGTGGGGTCGCGATATTGCTGCGACTTGGAAATGAGACGGTGGACGGATTCAATGTCGTTCTTTGCCGTACGGCGCACTATGAAGCCTCCGGGCTCACGCCTGCCTCGCGCCGACTGAGGACGGTCTGTATCCGCCAAGGTTCTCACGGGGAGGGCGCCCTCAAGCGAACTCAGGGAGTCACTACTTCCAGACTTTCTTTCCTTCGATGCAACAGGCAGGTGAGTGTTGTTGTTTTTAATGTTCATATCTACGTGTCTTGCACTGTCACCAGCACTGGGAACCAGGCTCACTTTGGAATCATGTTTTGACTTGATACTCTTTTTCTGCAGTCTCTCATAGATCAACATCTCAAGCAGTGCACGGAAAGGTGAATCTCTTGCCTGAAATGATATAAGGTGCACTGGTAGTCCACATCCAATGTGAATATCGTGCAAAAAAAAAAAAAAAAAAAGACCCGTACAACCTAGAAGTAATTAAAAGCTCTGCCTTAGTAAATTGCGACATGCCTGCCAATCATCAGTGCAAGAGAGCCGAGTTACGCTGTTTCCTTTCCAACAGTAAGTACTTTTTCTCTGCACTAGGTGCATAACGAATTAAAAGGTAGACGTCGCCACTTACAATATTATGTTTGGCTGAGTAGCGACGTCGAAAACTTTGCCGGTATTTGCCACGAAGCTCAAGTTTTCAACCAAAAACCAGCGACACCAACACGAATCCGATCCAGTAACTCGCCTACACGACTCTCGCTTTATACGCCTGACGTCACTAAAATGACATAAAGTGGTTCTATGCAAATTATCTCTGGGTGAGAGAGGGACGCCTGTGAAAGGAGCTTGCAAATATTCCTAGGGTGTAATTACGGTGTAACTATTCTTACACCGTGGGTGTAACCGGCAATAGGGAAGTGCCAACATCTCTGATCGAATGCGTGCGTCGCACGGCGGCTTTCGATAGTGATGGAGCCCTGATCAGGATCGAGTTTCTCGACTGCGACTGGTGTCTCGCGCGTGTAACCTAATCATGATCACGAAGCTCGACACCGGTCGGACCCGATCGCGAACGAAAGCGTACGGTGCGACACACGTACAAGTGTCGCTAACCAGTCGCACGCGTTCGCAGTTTACATTCCGAACAAGTGCAATTTCTTCCGCGCAGGAAATCGAAACAGCAGCTTCTGACCGAGTAGTAACGTCGCAATCGGTGTCCTGAAGATTCAGGAAAGCAGACAGACGCTCTGCCGAAAGAAAGCCCTTTCTTACCTTGTTTTCTTTAACGAGGCGTTCCATAAAGACAGCTCTGATCAGCTGGTCCCTGAGAGTAAAACAACCTTCGTTCCGGGGCAACTCGTTGTCCATCTTTGCCAGCGTATCTTTTAGTCCCTAGAGGACAAGCACAAAGACTGTTGCTGTAAACACGAAGGGAAACTGAGTCGATCGAAGAGTATCAGGATGAGAACGCTACGATGGCACAAAACCACCGGGCTTCCGGTATCTAAGGAAAACGTCAACAAAAACGGTGCGTTACCTTGCGGGACAAATATTCACGCACGATGCAGCAGGATATATCTTCTACGCATCTCGCCTGGATGCTAGCCATTGCGTTGGCCGAGCCGGTTGAGATCATGTTTCTGCCGGTGATGTATTAGGGACACATTAATATTAGAACGCTGCTGGTCATTTAAACCTGTGCTGCCATTTGTTTACGTGACGCAGCGGACCCTGCCGGCAGAAAGAGAAAATGTGCAAAAGTTTTAAAGATGGCGGCGTTGACGTAATTTTTGCTTTCTTGCAACGTACACAAACATCACCTTCGAGACTGGCAATCAAAATTTAAAAGCAATCTTGAAGGTTTCATTTTCTTAAAACAAGATTTTAGAAATTACTTATGTGTTAGTGAGTACACATTAAATTTTGTACTTATAGCAGAAAATAAAGCCAGACGTTGCTTGCTTAGTTTTTAAAACATTGCACGACTCACTTTCAGTAAAGTCGGTCGTTTCGAGTCACGTGACAACCGCCATTGCGGTAGAGTAGTGTAGCGTTGGTCGTGTGGTGTGTGCGTTGTGTGTGCTATGTGCTTTGCCGATCTGTGCTTGTGAACTGCGATTTGTGCTGGGAACCAATTCGTCCGGAGTACTGCAATGTGAGAAGCGCTCGGGACACAGATATACGGTGAGTTTTCGGACTCTTCTTAACGTAGTCACAACTTGGCGTGCGAAGAAGAAAACACTACTGCAATCTTTCGGGACATGCTGCGAAGTTAGCGTCTCGCGTGAAAACAAAAAAATCGATACGTGATGTGCCGTTTAACAATGAAATGAGCGAAGCGTATGGTAGAGTGCCGGACGTCTTGCAGAACTTTTCCTTGCGTGAAACTTCGTGCACGCTTTGTTTTTTGGCAGCGCCTCGAGCAGCGACTCGTGCTTAGAATCCGATTACTTTTCCGTTGCCTGTGTCATCGCCAATAATCCCTCCCTGTTTCATAATCTCATAAGTCCAGTAGTTTCACGGGTCGTTCGCAACGCGAGCCTTTATTGTAGGTTTTGTAAGAGCCCAGTTGGTGCGTGCGTAGAAAGGTACCCTCTGCGATGTCCTACCGGCATGAGTGCGGAGGAGTAAGGTGTAACAACTGCGATGTTTGTGTTTAGTTCCGTCACGCCGCACTCTTCGGCGGAATGTCAGAACGTACAGCAGGTGTTCGCCCCGATGCTGTGAAGTGAAATTCGAGCTGCGTTTCGTTACGTGCGACGGGGTTGAGTGACGCAGTTGAAACGCGCTCGCGAGAAGTGTTCAATTCCGGGTCGCCAGCTCGTCGGAACCATGTATACGATGTTCACTCACGCATATATATATATATATATATATATAAAACGGTGTGCTTGTGGATGCGCACGTGCGAGAAACGAATACTACGGTAAACAGCTGTGAGTTTTGAATGCCGGCCTAAATGTCTGCTGCTAGGCGTGTTTGACGAACGTCATTTGTAAATCGTAGAGATTTTTGATTTTTGACAAGCAATGCCTTGCGCAACTTGGAAGTTGAGAACCGCTTGATTTTTGTTCGTGTGTTCTTGGCGGCGCCTCGAAATGTGGGGGGGGGGGGGGGGGGGTTCGTATGCGCAGTAAAAATAAACTTTAATGATAAAAAAGCACCACCACTATGGCAAATGCAAATGTGCGTGTTAGCACTACATCGCCTATTTTTATATTTACTTTAAATTTTGCTTGTTTTCTTTTTTTTCCCCACAAGTCAGAGGCGATAGTTTGCACCGGTGAGGCGCAGCTGGGCATTTCTTTAGTGAAGATATGGCACTGACATGCTTGTATATTTCGTAGCACATGTTACAGCTAAAACGTGCAATCTTAAATAGTCTCGAAACTGGCAGTAGCATCAGTTTTCAAAATGCACTTAGCCAGTGTGCTGCGGAGCACGTTAGCGTTTCGTATTGTTGCAGCGCGCGAAGGAAGGTTATATTATTATTATTATTTAATTATTATTATTATTATTAGTATTATTATTATTATTATTATTAGTAGTAGTAGTAGTAGTAGTAGTAGTAGTAGTAGTACAGTTTTCCCGTCGTATTTCACAGGACAGCCTGTTGATGACTGGCACCTTGGAACTACTGCTAGTCTGATAATTTTTGTTAAATGATCACCACTACAGCACTGCCGTTTTTTTTTTTTCCAACGAATAACTCAATCGTTTCAGCGATATTACAAATGCCTGCAACGTCATTCGTCGAATGATAGCACCCAATGACTTGCCGTGCGTGTCCATCAATTGCTTCACGTAGGTCAAAAAGAAAACCGGAGCCGACAAGGCTGCGCAATTTCATTCATTGCGGTATACGAATTAACCCGGAGACCCCTCGTACCTCAAAATAGTATCGTGGTTGTCGAACGCTAGCCCTATAATTTAATTTTATTATAGTTAATAAATGACATTAGGTTGACGGGAAGGTCGGTATACCGTAATGTTCCGTATCTACAGTGGAGACGACAATCGCCGCTATACCGTGGAGTTTGCGTGAACGAGCTGCTTGATTCTCTTGTTAGTTTGCTGGGCCTTTCATCCGCCGCCTCGTTAATGCCTTGAAGAGACGACGGCCATTGCGACACACCGAGAAAAGAAATGGCACCAATAAAAAGGGCGTTCAGTGGACCTTTCATTTTTACCTCTATCTCTTTTACTGTACCACAAAAGGAAATCGACTCTTCTCTCCTTCTTTTTTTTTTCTTCTTTCGTGGGCTTCACTTGATCCCATCGAGTGCTTTCCGATGAACCGGCTCATTAGATACGACTGGGGCAATCACGGGGGCACTACAGTGTCGCACTGTATCTTATATTGCTTTTGGAGACCGTGCTGCGTGTTAAAAAAGGAAAGTTAATGTGGGTGACATTTGATGTGTTGCATTCCGAAAGGGAGAAAAATGTGTGCTGTAAAAGAATGGGACGCACTCGCACAACGATTTCTGAGAAAGACTAATGGCATCTCCCGAAACCGGGGATTGGGTGTGCTTCGAGTAGTGCCATTAGCAAATCGGATTAAATTTCGAACACATTTTGTATCAAATACTTAATAGCCCCCCCCCCCCTTTTTTTTTTTCACTTTACTCTTAAAGGGCCACTCACCAGGCCCCCTACCGAATTTTAGTTATACAGTGGAAATAGTTGGGTGTCCGATGAGGAACATTTTGCCACAAAAATTTTTCGTATCGCTTCATCACGAGCGGAGAAAACGGGTTTTTTTGAAGCGGTGCGAAATGAGGATGAGGTTTTCTAGGTGGTGTTGGGCGAGCTCGAAACTCCTGCCGCTCCTCCGCGTAGCCTTCGCAAGCCAAATCTGTTCCCCACCCTCTCCGGCATACGACCGAGAGGTGACGTGCGCATGACGTGCCCAAAAAGTCCAACCCCCGAGAACGCGAGCAGCGTTGCTTTGTTCACCAGCGTTATTTTGTGGTATTCTGCCTGTTTCTGCGGGATGGTTTGGAAACGCTAGCTTAGACGCGGTAGAGTAGATGAGCACAATGAGTGCGCGAACGCGTAGGAGCGTTCCACGGCGGTCGTCTGCTCGATGGGCTGACCGCGGGGACACGAACGCATGCGAAACGCTAGCGCATTAGCCCCGCATCTCGTAGCATTTCACGGGGAAAAAATAAAAGAAAAGCGCGCACAATTTTTTATTGCGTCTCATATTTCAAGTTTTATTAATCTCTTAAAGCAACAAATGCATAAACTACGCATGTTAAATAATTTTTGCCATGTCACGTGGTATACTGTTGACAACGTCAGAGCAGACTCGTCTACGTAGACGACCAACGTCACTGCATTGCCGTGTACGTAGGGCCATTCCTACGCCTACGTCACGCCCTCATTCTCTACGCGTGCGAAGGGGGGAGCAGCTTTCATCTTGAAATTTGACCCGTTTCCGCGGTGCGTAGCGTTGCAAAGTTTGGCAGACGTCATCATGAATACCTCGTTTACGCATTGCGCTTGTCAGCTCAAAATTGTCAAACCTGGTGAGTGGCCCTTTGAAGGGATTCATTGCGTACTTGCAGAGTCGTTTGATAGAGTTCTGTGTCACTAGTACAATTAGAACTATTGCAAGGGGGGGTGGGGGAAGTTGCTCTCGGACTCTCGCCTCAGCAGCCCTAACTGGAGGGCCCTCATTTTGCTCGAGACTGTTAAAATAAAATTTCGTAAACAAACTTTCAAGTTTCCAATAGTGACCAAATTAGTTTGTGCACGTCGTTCGGTGCACAGACTGAAACTTGACTTCCTCCTGCGGTCGGTGTCGATTCTTGTCCCGCCGCAGAGTTTGTAGGGAACGTGCTACTATATGATTATTATTATTTTGATCATCATTCTTGGAGGACAGCCGTTCAACCCCCGAACAAAAAAAAAACAAAAGTGATTATTATTATGATTACCATGCTTCCGGGGTGATTGAAACCTACCCACCAAGAAATCGAGGTGGGAAAGTTTCGTTAATCGTCTTGTTTCGGTCACTAGTGCTCGTGCAACGGATTAAGGGTCCTGTATGAATAAATAGCCTATTGCACCGCGTCGGTTGACTACACCAAAGTTCGTTAAACTGCCGCGTCAGGCTTGTCGCGAGGTACAAAATTGCTCTCCTCGACTCTCTCGCAGGTGTGCAGTTGGCGGGTTTCTTTTTCTTTTTTCGAGGCGGCCGCGTGCGCACCTGCTGTGGGTGATTAGCATATCCTGCGGTGCACACCGCCTTCCCACGCGGCGCTGCAGCCCGCCCGACATTTCGCGAAATTCGGCTATTGCAGTTCATTTTTGCGAGGGCGGCTCTATCGTACGAAGACGCCGATGTCCTCCTTCCTGCGCGCTTCCTCGGGAGGGCCGTCTCGAAAACGGGTGTCATTTGTTGCGGATTACAGCACTGTACACGACATCATGCGCTATAGCTGATTGTGTGTCGCAAGAAGAGGAAGCGCACCGACTCACCTGGTTATATAGTTACCACGAATGCGATTCGCCGTTTGTTGCACCGTTCCTGTGCCTTTTTCCAGCATCGTGCCAGTGATATAATAACCAGCGTCACCGCAAAAAGTTCTGATCGGTGGCGCTTACATTTACATAGCGGCATATATTCATGCCTCTTTTCGATTGATTGATTGATTGGCATGTGGGGTTTAACGTCCCGAAACCACCATATGATTATGAGGGACGCC